TACAACTGACTTCTCTTCTGTGAAGTCAATTGGCTATTCGAATGCATTCTGTTTGGAAGCTGATGAGGAATCAGTTTCTGAAATCTTCAAGTGTCTTCCTTATTACGGGGGGCCTCTAAAAGATCTGACTTTGGAGGACTGGTTTGAATACTGTTCTGCATCTGAAACAGTTCCATTGGTAAAAACAGATGCAAACATAGATTATGAGATCATTTTCCAGCTTAACTCTCTTGTTCATACTCAAAAGATAAGCCTGGCAGCTGTAGATGCTAATCTTGTGAACATCCTCAGTGGTCAGACTATAGAGACTGCTACAAAGATTCTCGAAAAGTTGCACCAGCTGAATTCAATGTGCTACAATCCAGTGGACTTTGTGAAGACACAGTTAAGTGCTCCAAGCAGAAACCTTCAAGGACCTATGGCAGCATCTACGCGAAGCAGCTCCTCCACAAGTTATAAAAAGATAATGTGTTGTCACAGGGCTTTGATTACACCTTTAAAGATTTACTGCTTAGGACCTGAGCTTGAATCATCTAATTACGTGGTAAAACACTTTGCTAAGCATGCTGCAGACTTCATGAGAGTGACTTTTGTTGAGGAAGACTGGAGCAAGCTTCCCCCTCAGTCGATTTCCACAAGCATCCAGCAAGATATATTTGCAGCTCCTGTTAAAACCAAACTATATGACAGGATATTAACTATACTTAAACACGGGTTTGTGATCGGAAAAAAGAAGTATGAGTTTCTCGCATTCTCAGCAAGTCAACTGAGGTCGAATGCTGTTTGGATGTTTGCTTCTAATGAAGAATTGAAAGCAGAACATATTCGAGAATGGATGGGTTGCTTCAACAAGATCCGTAGTGTGTCAAAATGTGCTGCAAGGATGGGTCAACTATTCAGTGCTTCTTCACAAACTGTAGAGGTTCCTGCCCAAGAAGTCGAGATTATTCCAGATATCGAAATTACAACGGATGATGTTACCTATTGTTTCTCGGATGGCATAGGCAAAATCTCTCTTCCTTTTGCTAGACAAGTTGCTGAAAAGTGTGGACTGAGTGAAACTCCATCAGCATTTCAAATTCGATATGGTGGGTATAAAGGTGTGATTGCTGTCGACCGTAGTTCTTCCAGGAAACTGTCATTGAGGCCTAGCATGCTGAAATTTGAGTCGGACAACAGGATGCTTAATGTTACAAAGGGGAGTGACGCGATGCCTTGCTATTTGAATCGAGAGATCATTTCTCTCTTGTCTACCTTGGGTGTGAAGGATGAAGCATTTGAATCTTTGCAACTTGAACAGCAGCAACAAGTGGGGCAAATGCTCAGCAGTCGAGATGCAGCTTTAGATGTATTGGAAAATCTTGCTTGGGCTAATGCAAAGCATGTGTTGGTCAAAATGCTGCTTCAAGGTGGTTATGAGCCTAACCAGGAACCTTATTTATCAATGATGCTCCAATCTTATCATGAAAGTCTGCTGTCAGAGTTGAAAGGTAGGTGTAGGGTATTTGTCCCCAAGGGACGTGTTCTCATTGGATGTTTGGATGAGAGTGGCATCTTGGAATATGGCCAAGTTTATGTGCGTTTGAAAAGGACAAAAGCAGAGGAGCTACAATGTGGGGATCAGAGTTACTTCAGGAAGGTGGATGATAAGACATCTGTGTTGACAGGGAAGGTGGTCGTCACTAAAAATCCATGTTTGCATCCAGGTGATATCAGAGTGCTTGAGGCCGTGTATTCTGATGTCTTGGAAGAGAAGGGTTTGTTCGACTGCATTCTATTTCCCCAGAAGGGACCAAGGTAAGCCTACACATGCCGTAGATTTGTTTTTGGTTATCTGTGTTCTGATATGAATAATCTTTCCTAGGCACTTCTGCACTAGAGAATGAAGTGAAATAGTATCTTCTCGTTGTGTTAGTGATCAAGCCAATGGCTGATCGTCTTAATTCACAGAAACTATATCTTCAGTCAAGTCAACTCGATGGTTAAATCTGTTAGTTTGCTAAGAAGCTCTCTCTCGTAGGCCACATCCAAATGAATGCTCCGGCGGTGACCTCGATGGTGACCTGTTCTTCATAAGTTGGGACAAAGACCTCATCCCACCTCAAGTCGTGCCTCCCATGGACTACCTCGGAGGAAGACCTCGAATCATGGATCACAAAGTCAGTTTAGAGGTAAACTCCTAGCTCACCCGCTTTGACAATTCCCACAAACAACCTCCCTTTTTCGTTTTTATCCCATGCCCTTTTATGCAAAATCTCAATACTCTGTCGAAATTCCACAGGAAATACACAAATTCTTCGTCGATTACATGGTGAACGACACGCTGGGTGCCATCTCCACCGCACATCTAGTCCTCGCGGACCGCGAACCAGAAAAGGCCTGTAGCTCAAAGTGCTTGGAGTTGGCTCAACTCCACTCCATGGCAGTCGACTTCGCCAAAACAGGAGCACCAGCCGCCATGCCCAGGTACCTAAAACCCAGAGAGTACCCTGACTTCATGGAGCGAACCGAGAAGCCAATGTACATCTCCACGGGAGTCCTCGGCAAGCTCTACCGAGCCACCCTCGAATCTTCCGCGCGAGCTGGGGTCACCTTCGTCTGGTCGAAGGAGGTCGCCGAAGCAGCTTACGACCTGGACCTTGAAGTGGAAGGCTTCCGGGACTTCCTGCCGCTAGCCGAGGCCCACAAGGACATGTACGTGGAGAAACTGAGCATGCTGATGAACTACTACGACGCGAAGCACGAGGACGAGATCATGACCGGGAATCTGCGCAGAAAGGCGGCATATCTTCAGCGGGACAACCGGAGGTACGGTGAGACAAAGGATCGGATTCTCGTGGCGACGAAGAGCTTGCAGATGGAAGCGAAAGAGTGGCTCGAGAATGGATGCAGCGTGAAGCAACGTCAGCAGCTGGCGTCTGCGTGGTACCACGTAACGTACCATCCGGATTATTTCGAAGAAAGCACGACGATGACGACGTGCTTGAGCTTTCCATGGATCGTCGTCGACACTCTTCTTGGGATCAAATCCGCGAACCGTCGAGACATGTTGGTCGATCAGGAGACAACGACGACGGATTAACTGCACCTAGTTTCGTCATGTCTAATCGAGCATCATCTTGCCGAGAGTGTGAGTGAGAAATCCTGACGATATCAACGCGTGCTGTGCAGGTGACTTTTGCCATCACGAATGAAATGGTTTCGACGGTCATAGTCACAGGAGTCCTACTCTTGCTAATGGAATCATGAGGAAGATAATGTTTGATTAAGATAACTTTTATGTTACCAGCCGGTTGATTGAATAGGGATAATGATAACAATCTGCCGAGCTGTGCCCAACTTACCAAGTTGAATTAGCCAATGTATTGATCAAAGTGGAGGACCTAATTGGGTGGGTTAGGAGATGGATTAGTGCGTTAGGTACAACTTGATTATAGCAATTGGAAGTGCAATTAAATTAAGTGGTTCATATTTTGGATGTTAGCCAGCACAGCTACGCCTCGCCTCCAACAGCAATGTGCTACAAAATCCATATCCAATCCCTGTCATCCGGCCACCAACCGGTCCAGTCCAGTGGGAAAAAATAATCCAAAAGGGAATCTGTGGGGCGCCACCCTGCATTTAAGTTTTTATTGAGGGTAGTTTGGAGCCTTGCATTTTAAGAATTGGGTGTTCTAGTTAGGGCTGCAAATGAGTAGATGTGGGTTTTCATATAGTTTGGACTCGATTTGTTTATTTAGACTCGATTTGTTAATATACGAGTCGAGTTTGAGCTCAACTTGTTTACTAGATTGTTGATTTGATCTCGATTCATTAATAAGCTCACGAGCTCTATTGGAGTTGAGTTCTTCAATTAGCGCACGAGATCGGTTCGAGCTAAGGTATCATATAATTTAGTTCATAATTTTTAATTGTTCATTATCATGTTATTTATTAGTAATTAGTATCTGAGCAATCTACCATACATAATTTCTCTTTCAAATTATAAATGAAATATATATTTGATCACCTGCTCAAATTCTTAAACATCATATGTGGTGATGAGATATATAATCTAACAAACTTATGAATTATTAACAAGTCGATGAGCTATATTGATTGATTCGCTCATACTTTGGTAGTTGAGGTGACTCACTACTATCAAACCAACTCATAGCTCTAAATGAGCTGGCTCAAGAGTTGAGGTCAATAAGCCGCCAAATAGATTCAATTGTCGAACGAGACCAAACGACGAATCGCTAGTGAACGAATTGACTCATTTGCCACACTCTAAGTACAGTATGCATTACTATGCTAAAGATTACAATAACTTATTGATTAACAGTCAAAAAGTTAATTAACTATAGACTACTAATCCTTCTAAGCCTTTCCTAATCCTAGCGTACCAATTTATGAAGCTTTTGTGACCTTTGAGATCACTACAACACCTTTTTCTACTTAAAAAATACCTGGGAAAAGAATACGACAAAGGCAGCAGCTCGCTCAAACCAACGGCAACAGATGCCTTCATCTTCATTATCATTTTCATAAAAATAAATTAATGATGATAATTTACACGCACCAATCCAAATGTACCAACTTAAATATAGAAACGGGAACAATAAAAAAAAAAATATAAACAACTATATCAAATTGAATTCCTATTTTCTTTTTAAGGAAACGAATCAAAAAAGCAAAAACATAAATTAAAGTTTCTCTATTGAATATTTATACTTACAAAATCACGAAAATTAAGATTAGAAAAGGAAAGGAAAATAAAGAAATAAAAGGACACGGAAACTACAGAGAAGGAATTGGCGCCGTCACGCTACGTCACCGTCACCCCCAGCCCAAGTCAAAAAAACCCATCCCAATCCACTCAGGCTCCAGCTGTACCCGACCCGACTCCGACTGCGACGGAAACCCTCGCTTCGTCCCCCTCACCCAAACCAAATTCCCTATCTCCCAGCGGCGCAATTTAGCACCCACACCGCCGGCAAAGTCCAAATTTCCAACTCCATTCACACGACGGCGGCCGACGATTCATCGATAACGCGCGCGTCCATGTTCAGCGGCTTGCCGGAGACGGAAACCGAAGCGTAGCGCGAAGAGAAATCACGAAATCCACCACCACCGACGGGGTTGCCGTAATCGTCGTAGTCCTCGAAATCCATGTGCTGGCCCTCGTCGAAGTTCAAGGCGTAACTCAGGGGATCGTACTGAAACTTCCCGTGTCGGTTATTGTTACTGTTGCCAATCGCGCCCTTTCGATTGAACCTGCGGATGAAGGTCTTCCACTTGGGACCGGCGACGATCTCGGACCACTCCCTGACCTTCTTGACGGCCTGGATCCCGCCGGCCAGCCAGGAATTCTCCCACCAGGGGGAAGACGAGGGAGAGGCAGGGGAAGAGGAGGAGGAAGAGAAGGAACTGGATCGGCGGCGGGAGGGGAAGCAAGGCAAGGTGAAGCAGCAGCGGGAGTGGGAGAGGAGTGTGTTCTCCTCCGGGATGGAACAGGCGGCGACGGAATCGGATCTCCGTGCCGTTTCCGCGTCGGTTTCTGGTGCTGGCGCGGCGCCCATGGGAGAATTGGAAATCGGGGAAACCCTAATCTGGAGGTAGAAAGAAAACAGAGTGGAGAGATGTTTGGTTGGGAGAGAGAGAGAGAGAGGGTGTGGGATAAATATGGGGGAGAGAGAGGGCTTTTGTAACGGAAAGTTACCGGCAACCGGGGGAAGTGGGAGAAGTGAGAAGTGGCGCTGGCGGGTGAGATTTTCTCGTGAAGTTTTCGCGGGAGGGTATTTGGGTAATTGCAGAGGGGAAGGGAGGAGGAGCCGTTGACGGGATGGACTGGTGACGTGGATAGGGGAGTTGGGGTATCTATCTAGCGGGAGGGCATAATAAGGTACGGCGCGGAGTTCTGGTGGGTCCGGAAGGTGAGCTGTCTTGCCTTTTGTAATGATAGGGGTTTGGTTGTTTGGTATTCGGTTTATCGGTTAAACGTTGATCTGTTGCGGTGCTTTTGTGAACGATGATTGTTCGACATAATGTATGTTCCGGTTAAGTGATGAATGGTTGTACTAACTCGTCGTCCTAACAAATGCAACCCTTACCCTTACCACCACAACCCTTGTACTGTTTTTACCGAAGGTGAATCCATTCCGTAAAGAGTTGAGTTTGGTCAAAATAATGTCGGACTGACGGTGGGTTCGTTTCTGAACGGGGCCAAACCAAAACTAGAGCTCAGTTATGCAAACCAAAGCTTGTCTTTGGTTGGCAACAACGTCGAACCAAGCTCCAATTTTGGTTTGACCTTGATCCAAACCAAGGTGGGTTTCATTTTGGTCGGGCAAAAATGATTTTTGTTTGGTTTTAGGGAAAACCGAGGTTCGACCTTGCTTTGACCATGGGCCAAACCGAAACAAAGTCTATTTAGACCTTTGTCCAAACATGGTCAAACCTCGGTTGGCCGAAAATTTCAATCAAATGTCGCCTGTGCTAACCCTCGTAACAAGTAATCATGTTTTAACTTGGCCTATGAAGTTAAAATTGTGAAACTTGTCATGCTGGTAAGATGGATATAATACACTTCAATATCGGCGAAGAAGTAACATAGAAAAAATGGTGTATGCAAGTATAGGGAGAGAAGCAACATCCACATCAATCTACACAATATATAATAGCCGGAAGGGGAAAACTGTTGCTCCATTTCAAATTTCCTGCAATGAGAGTGAAAGTAGGAAGGACATTTTGGTCTTCACAATTACTTTGTTTTATTTATTTATAAAAACACATGTGTTGGGATTTGAACCATGACCACTTTAAAGAAAAACTAGAATCATAACCAATCACACTAAGTACAGTTGTAGTATCTTTTTAAATTACAAACATATAATAGTGTCAAAACCCTTTCCCCATTTCAAATTCCCTGCCCCATGAGCGTTTGTAAGAATGGTAGAATATGTAGTGTCAATTTTTTTCTCTCTTTTCTCTGTGGAACGGGCCAACTTACCATACACATGCGGACTTCAACAGGCTTAGGAATTGTTGCGGCCCAACAAAAACAAAACATGTTTTGTTTAGCCCTTTTATTTCTCGGTGTTGGTAAGATATATATGAAAGGGAAAAACAATACTCCTTTATTATTGCTAAAAAGGAAAATATTTAACAATAAACTAATGCATGGATTCTAATGGGCTAAAATATAATATATTTTAAAGTTATTAAATGCTTCAACCTCGACCAACCCAATTAATCCAATTTTTATAATTTTAAATATATATTATGTAATTATTTGATATCATAATGATTAAATTATAGTGTATTTTATAGGGAATCGCATGGTATTTGTTAGTAAAAAACTAAACAGAAAGATCCATTTGGTTATTTTTAACATTAAAACGATCCTAAACATTTTTAGTTTCCTTTCGAATTTTTATGGTTTTGTTCCCGAAGCAGTGATGTGCAAATGGCGAATTGTAGTCAACTCTTTTCTTTCATTATTTTTTATTTTCAAATAGAAAGTTTGAATGTAAAGAATAAATGGAGCTTGGCATGAGTCGATCAAATAGGCTGAATTTCAAATTTTGGCCCGTTTTGATCAAGTCTAATTAATAATCACATGGTTCTCTGACACCCGATAAAAATCTCAATCCAAACCAGTTCGGCAGCTGAGTCCGTGTTTACCATCATTTTCTAGGGATACAGGAACAATGGTTTCTATCCCAAATCGGGTTGTTCGGCCTTGATTTCTTTAGATTTTATCATGACCTGGGAAAAATCCGAAAGCACAATGACGACAAGATGAAAGTTTTATAACGAAAATTAATCGACCAACGGGCGGAGTAAAATCTAGCGACGATTGTGAGATGCTCATTTCCCGAAGACCGGCAGGATAGGCGACTTTTTTCTTGAATTCGGTTTCTATAAAACTTACTCCACCTCATCATATTAACAGAAATAATACTATTTCATAAAGTAACAGGTACTCGAACTTGGTTTATAAGGTTGATTTTTTATTCGTTTCATCATTCATGTCCATTTCTTGCTAAAATTCACTATTTTTATCATGTGATTCCAAAAAAAAACTATACAACAATACGTCATACACTGCATTACATTCTCAAATTTCATAGCTTATCTTCCTCCGGCCAACTGGCCGGGGCCCACGCTAGTACATATATAGATTCAAAGGGATAAGGAGGAAGAGAGGAATTGTAACGTGCAAGGATGATATGCAAATGTGAGAGCAGCTCTGTTGTCTCTTTCGGCCTTATGAAGGAAGACTGAACTGGTGGATTTAGATTTTAGGCAAAGGAAGTGAAAGATAACTATGGAGAATCTATGAATGTTAAACAACAAGCATCCCAAATTGTTTTCTTCCCTAATAAACCTACCATACCATCCCAACTTCCACCAACACATAAAAAACACACTGTCACAATCTAACTACCTCATCATTCCAATGGAACGTCCACTCCCTCCTCTCCCAACCATGACTTTCCTTCCTTCATTGGCCAAGCCAAAGTCCAATCATTTCCTTAAAACAGTAGACTACACTCATATCCAACCTGGAATTTTTGTCCCATCCAAGCTTCCTTGGGTTGGTTGTCTCCCTAAGATTGGGTAACCCAAAGTTTCATCATGATGCCCCAGTTGACCTTTTTACAAGCTGCTTACCAAGCATGTAACTGGGAACCTGCTAGATAAGGAAGGAAACTAGCAGCCAACTCACAAGACAGTGCTGGGATGGGAAGACTAAGGTTGGCAATGGTGGCATGGTCCAGGAGTTGCACCAAGCACATTCCTGTAAAAAGAAACCACTGCACAGGGCACAACCTCTGGAGGAAGATGCAGAAATAAGCTTTGAAATGAGCCAGCTGTGACATCCTTCATCTTCCAGGTAATATCAAGAGCAGATGAAGAGAACCTTCAGCATAGTATCACAAGCTTTCTGACTTAAGACTCTTCATTCATCAATTTGAATCTTTCTAGTTTTAATATTGGACCATCACAAAGACAGACATTTGACTCTAATGTCTACATCTCAATTCTACAGATCCAATGTTTTCAAAACACCGATGGGATGGGAAACCATGCCTGGAGAAAGATGTGTCTCTTTAAAAGTGCTTCTCCAGATTCCGGCAAAAGAAATAAATTAAAATAACAAAAGAACTGTCAAAAGTCCTTGATCAGTGATAGAACCTAGACGTATGACTGTATGAGGACCTCAGTAACTCTAACAAGAAAATTTCAGGTATCTTATCATGTTGCACCAGAGTTTCCAAACAGATAGGAAGAATGATGCTAATGTGTCTCACAATGACTTCTTTCAAATCCAACGAAACTCCATTCCCATTCCAATTGTAAGATGCAATAGATGGGAACGTCAGAAACCACACTTATGTACATAAGCAAGACAGACTATCTCAAGCAGAAACTATATTAGCAGCGCCCAATTTATACAACCAAAGCAAGGATAGCCACAGTTCGAGAAACTAATCAAGCTCTTGAGTACCGTTAGATAGGAACTCGCCTACTTACACCCACTTGAAGCAAACTCCTAGCAAGAGATCAAGGCTATCAACTTACAAGGCAGCTCTTCCAACATCACCACCACCACCACCATGAACTTTCAGAAACACCTTTCCAGCTTCATCTACCTTCCCCGAATCCATAGCAATAGCAGCAAATATCGCCCGGAAAGCACCACAAACCACCGAAGGAGTTGATGAATCCGTCTTTGACGAAACCCTAATCACTTTGTGAATCCCCAAGCGCTTCCCATCAACAGCACACGAATTGTCGACGTTTGAGACTTTAGCAATCCGATCACTGAGAGTTTTCGAAGATATATCAATGTCGCCTCTGAGTGACTGGACAGCAACAGCCGTGTCGATGACATTGGCACCCAATATACTCAACGCATTGTTGTTCTCTAGGGAGTAGGAAGAGTGGGTCATCGCCAGGCGCAGCAGCCCAACCTTCTGGAAAGAGTAACTGCTAGGTGCAAGCACACAAATTTACAAAACAGAAAGAAAAGACCTTTTACAGTCCTTCGCAAACAATACTGAACTGAAACAGGCTACGATTGTAGGAGATAAAGCAAGTGAAAAAAGCTAACAATGATTTTATCAGCAACCAAACGGAGTAGGTACGGAAAATGAGTGAACTTTACCCAATTTGATTCTGCAGAGCTTCGAGACCCGATGCAAATGGCGATAATGACAGCTGGATTCTACGGTCAAACGGTTCATGGGCAGCAGTTACCTGCTGAGGAAAAAGGTAAAAACCCCAGCTCACTGGTTTTGCGGTCTTATGGATTCTTTATTAGGGTTCAGTTACAATTTCGAGACTTTGTAGGAGTGAAAAGTAAAGGAACCTGTGAAGAAGAGAAGACAACCAGCGTGATGAATAGCGCGATGAAGAAGAAGCATCGAGAAGCCATTGTTGGAGCCGGCGATCACTTCAGTCTCTTGCGGGCGTGGAAACTGGAGGCAATGGGTTATTCTCGTATGATCGCGTTGAAGTTTGAAGGAAGACGAAGGTAGTCAGACGGCCGGTTCATGTCGGGCCGGGTCAG